ACTGCCAAAACATAAAAGAATGAAAGTATAGTCATTAACAAATGTGTCCAGATGGTAGTTCACTGTTATCTTTCTTGATGACTTTGATCACCTAGAAAAACTATTTTTAATTACAAAATAATACAATGTCCATTTAAGCCTAATAATTGTATCAAGAAGCAGTATATAACTACATATATCTCTATATATCCCTCTCTCTGTATCTGTAAATATATGTTGCAATGGCCAGTAGCTATAGAAGAATGTGAAAGACTTGTCAAAGAAAATGACCAATAATAACTTTCAGGCTAAAGAATTTTTTACTGATGAGTTGTTTCAAGCTCTCAATGTAGAGATATTTTGCAAAATATGCAAATACATACTATTAACTATAGAAAAAATTAAATCTCTTCAATTTTTGTCACCCAATATGATGTTAAAAGCACCACAAATAAAATTACAAATGGCATTTAATATATGAAAAAGTCATGTAATTTACTAGGATTCAACAGCATTTTACAGGTATAATCTGTTGAAATGAAATATAAATGCAAAGATGGTTAAATTTGAGGAAATATATCCATAAATCCCAATGATTCATATATTTTATATTTTACAGATGAAGAAACGAGACTCGTAAACTTAATTATATAGCTAAGAACCACACAGCAGTGAAGGACTGGAATTCTAAAATTTATACCCTTAATGAATAAATTAGGCTACTCCACAGGATAACAATGCATAAATCAGAAAGAAATTCCATAAACTGGTTAAACACACACACACACACACACACGTGCACATGCACATACACACTTAGGATTAAAGTCTAGTATATAGGATAACAGATTATATGAACAAAGCAAAAAGAGAAATTTGAAAGTTACATGATTCTCAGCTCCCAATAAAAGAAACCTCTAGTTGTATTTTTTAAAATGCAGATGAGGATTAGTAGGAATTATGAACCAAGGGCCCAGAAAAATAAGCTAGTCCTTTCGGTTAGCATTCTATAAATCACCTGGATTACTAAATTCAGAATTATCTTAGAGGGATTCTTTTTCCTTGTCCGTCATATCCAATTGGAATTAAAGTCTTGTGAATTTCATCTCAACAATATTACCCCAATTCAATTTCTCCTGTTATTTCTTCATCTACTATCCTCGTTGGGACTTGGTTGCCTTATTTCTAAAATAACCACCCACCCCAACTTCAAACAAACAAGCAAAAATTGTCTCAGTAACTTAAGTTTCTCTACGATTTACTAGAAACCGTTAACTCTTTTCAAGTAAAACTTAGAAAAACAGTTTTGAAAATGTTAACTCTTTGTTCAAGAACATAAACATTTTCATATGTCTGACTGAGATAAATTAATTCCAAAACTTTCATGTCTGGCAATGACCGATTTGCACTGTATCCTCCTTGAAAGTATTCTGTATCCTAGAGCAAAGGGATGGTTTTCTTGAAGGTGCCCAAAGCCTTTAGGGTTCCATGTTCCTTTTCTACTTCCTTCACTTTTACCCAGCGTCACCTGTTACTTTTTAAAATAGGTTATTTTCCTTCTCTATTCAGGCTTCACTGAAACTCAACAATTCAAACTATCAAGATGCATAAAGAGTATGTGTGTATATGCATGTTGGGGGTAAAATATTCAAACTGATATAACTTGAAATGAATTAAATTTTAAGAGTTTAGATATATAGAACTATAAAACTCATAATCATAAGAAAAGTAGTTTGAACTTTGGAATACCCAAATTTGAGACAAACAGAAAATGTCAATTAAAATGATCTTTTGATTCTAACCAGTGAAATTAATAACTAAATGGAGCACCTTAGATATGTCATACATCTAAAGTTTACCGTGCTTATGTACCACTGCTGTGTAGACAACTTAAGATTTGTCTAGGGTAGAAAAATCCTACTGAAAAATAAATGCTTTCTACAATATTTTTCGATGTTATTTTTCAGTGAACTTCTGTCTTGCACGTCCTTTCTAATTCTTAGGATTGCATTATACACACACACACACACACATAAAATCTGTGGAAGATGGTCTATTCATAGACTATGCTCACAATTATGAATCTCATATATTCCTAGCCATAAAAATATTAGAGGCCTCTAAAAATCAGCTGAAATATCAATATTATTTGAATGAATTTGACCTATTTACAAATAATACTTTTTTATTTGCAATTGAAAAACAAATTAACAAAAAAAGATGGAAGAAAACGAGGGAATCCATTAAAGGACCCCAAAGCACTGGCCTTTGTAATACTAAATGTATGAGTTAGAAAAGGAGAAAAGTGTATAGTTACGTTACTATTGAAGGGTGTATGCTTATCTATTTATGTAAAGTCAGAATCTAGGGTTTAAATCATGGAATGTATGTGTTTTTATTTATTTAAAATACTTGAATGTATGTATTTGGACCAATTTATGCACATTTGTTAATAAGTACATTAGAGAAATAGAGTAAAACTTTATTCATACTTTATGAAGAAAACCTACATTTATTAGTTTTAATGCATTTCAGGTAGAATTAAAGTTTCTGATCGTAACATAGGAAAACATATTATGGTGCCAATTTGACCTCAAATATATGAAGTCAGAAAGATTTAAGAAATATCTCATTGCTGGTAGTTTATTCCTCACATTTTCTAGAACAGAGATGATATTAAATAGAATTTCCTGCACTGTACAGTCTACCTAAGGCATGCTTCTAATGTAAATGACAGTTGAAAGATTAGAAATGATACTAAACTCAGTCTCATATTTCCCCTGTCTCTCAGCCTTTGGCACTGTGTAGAAATGACACTCAAAATTGACTCTGTTTTTCCATAGCAGGTAGCAAAATCCTGTACTTGCGTTGCCCTGACAATTTGTCAGAGCATTAGTTTAAATTCTTCTTGCCTCTCTTTCTACGCACAATTGAACGCAAATGATCCTTATCCCTTGATGATATGACTTTTAAAAGTTTGCTTCTTGATATTTTAATATACACACTATACAGAAAATTTGAGTAATGTGAAAAATAATTACTGCTTATTCACAAGAGATCCTCTTTTCAGATGTATTACCTTCCATCTTTAATGCACATAGAGTTCCTTTTGCAGCTTGTGGTTGATTATCATAAATTAATACTACATCAAAAATACCTTTTCATTCAAAAATCAGTTTAAATACAGGAAACCTCACTGAAGTAAAATCTTGTTGAAAGGCTGTGATACATTAGAGATATACACTTACTATGACCACATTTCAAATGTTGTGCTTAATAGCCTTCAGTGAAAACATTGGCTCATGGATAGTGAACCTGGTAGGACTTGTTTCTCAAAGATAAATGTGGTCAATTGTGTCTTCAATTTAATTGTGAAAATATACTCCATCAGGAGTGGTAATGAGGAAGGCACAAACATCAAAGAATTTCAGTCAAAATAAAACCACAATTAGCTTTTGGATTATCTGGGAGCTAATTAGTATATTCAAGTTGGTACTGAAAGTCTTTATTTGTGCCACGTTGAAAACGGTGGATTGGAGGAGATGAGGGCTGAGGACTACAGAAGGACCCACACTGGGTGGTCAAACTTAGACCGGGGCGAGTCAGCAAGGTTGAGGCTTAAAGAACAGGGCTCCTGGGCAACATACGTGGTGCAGTGTATACTGCTCGGGTGATGGGTGCACCAGGATCTTACAAATCACCACTAAATAACTTACTCGTGCAGCCAAATACTACCTGTGCCCCAATAACTTATGGAAAAAAAAGAACAGGGCTCCTGGAAGGCAGTGTGGCATCTCTCTTCTACCAACTGGTGTCATTCTTCATATGATCTAATGATTGAACACTAATTTACCATTAATTTTCAAATCAACTAATTTATTTTTAAATAATAAAATTAGTCTCTCTTAAAGGCAATGCGATAACATTTAGTTTCATTTTGTTTTTTCATCTTAAATATTACTTAATGAGTTTAGACCAATACAAGTGGCACAACTGAGGTTTGGAAGTTATATCTGTAATGAAATATTTATATGGTATTGTAATATAGAATAACAAGTATATCATGCTCAACAAAATACATAAGTTTATATTAAAGAAATTTCATACTCAATACATTTTTACTATTTGAATATCGATTCTTCACATTTTTAAGAAAAAAGGGCAAAAATTACTTATCCACATTAATAAGGGCACCCAATAATAATTATTAGGAGAGTTCAATAGTAATAAATTATATGATAACTGTTGAAGACAGTACTCTAATGCTCTAAAATATCTTTTGACTTAAAGACGTATCTAGTCTCCACACTTCCTTCTTTATCTAGAGGTGCTAAGGACTGGAGCTAGCAGCCGTGGAGACTTTTTACAAGGGAATAAACAATATTTCAAATATAATAATGACACCATGTACACTATAATAAATAATCTTAAGAAAAGTCAGGTTATATACTATAGTACATATCTGGTTAAATGCATTTTATTTTTATTAGATAGTAAACTAATGAAAACAATGATTAAAGACTTCATCTGGTCAAAAAAAAGTTTAACTTATAAAATTATTACACAGGAAATTATGAAACACAAACTGTATACATGGGGCAGACATCTTTATTTAAAATGGTTAGTATTAATTGAGCAGTTGCAGATCTGATCAAACAACTTAATTACTTACTGCTTTATCAATAATCAGTTTGCTGCTCTAAAAGAAAAATATAGATCTAAAACACATGTTTTAGACACAACTATTTACAGAATGCATTGGTTTAGATTTCTTCTATATGATGACCACATAGGAAAGAAGTGTCTAGTTATTACTATCAAAATAAATAGAAATCTATGGAAAATCATTTTTTGCTATAATAGTTGAGGCTAACAGGAAAATATCTTCAATAAAAATATAAATGATATTAGGCATTTGTATAAAAACAAACTTCATTGTGTATTTAATGATAACATTTATTGCAAAACATTTTAGTAGAGAGGGATGAATGTAAAATTATAAATATATTTTTGTCACTTACCTCTCTCAACATTTCTGCTTGTACTGGTGGGCTTATCTGAAGGACATGGGCAATGTCCTTCACATTTGACTGAGATCTGTTTTCCTAAGACACATGCCTGATATTCTAGTTTGCACTGTATAAAAAGAGAAAAGAAAGTAATTCAAATGCTTTAGTTATATCAGCAGAAACTCAAGAAATGTTTAGAAAGAAAAGTAATTTTTATGCATATAATTTGGAGATCTTTTCATGAGCTAATACATCTCCAATACTAAAGTGCAGTTTTACACACTTACGTAGTGTATCACTGCTCCATAAAGAAGGCAGAAATGCAGTTGCCTTGGTATCATTTTAGTGAACAATCACTGAGAAATATAGTAGTTTTAAAAGTCCTTCTTAGTTTGCCAGATCTATTACATGACATGAATAGAAAATTTTAGAATCAAATGGAGAGAGGCATTACATAGAGTTTGACAGTACATCTCTTGAGCTTCTTAAATGTAATCTCGGTTTTGGTTACTTAAGTAAGCACGTCTTCTCTTACTTATTGAACTCTCAGTTTTGGCTACAGAGACTCTATGCATCAGTCTTTAGCCAGTGGCTTACACAGCATCAAATGGCCCATCTTATATCACCCTAGGCAAAGAATTATAAAATATATATTTGTAAATTGATGTGTTCGTCAAATAGTTCTATAGCTTCTTGTGGTTTCCCACAAACATAGCCCTATAGCTCAAACATTCATACACACAGAGAACAAACATATATATTTACATACAAAATAAATCAAATATTTAGGTAGCCTTTATATAATATACTCTGTGTGCATATATATTTCACATGTACTTTTGGTGTGATGATGTGCTTAGTGTCTCTCTAATCCTTGTGTGCAAATGGTTTTTCGACTGAACTTCCCATAGGTCTTACATTGGAATTAATGTACATTCGTAATAAGATATTGTCACCTAAGAACGTTTCTAGAAGCCCCAGACTTTATTTCACTTGTTTTACAAAAAAACAGTATAGCATGCCTCTCTTCTCTCCTGTGGTGCTTGTATGACCATAGGATTGAAAACAAGACGGTGATGACAGTGCATTTCTGATTCTACCACACATGTAATGGGAAAGGATAAATAAGTGGTCTAGAAGAGAGGAATGCCTGAATCTAAATTTTCTGCGTACCATCTTCTAAAAGTGACATTTAGGGCTAGTTGCTCAAATGTTTTTAGCCTCAATTTTCCCATTAAAAAATCTGGGGTAATGATACCTAATTTTCAGGGTTTTAAGAACCAAACAGCCAGTTTTTCCCCATGTAGTGGCTATCATGAACCAGGCTCTCCGTAAATGCTAATAAAAGCTGAATACTCTTAAACAATTAAAAACATTATGACACACGAGATTTTCATTTGTTTGCTAACTTCTTAGTTTAGTTTTAGTTGTGTTTGGCTTGATTTTTTTTTTTTTTTTTTTTTGTAAACATTACTCCTGGTAGAATTTTAAGCCTAAGTATCTTTCATTTATTTCTAAGACAATATTTTATAACTGCATATTTGACATGATTAAAAATTATACTCCCAGTTATGTGGTCAACTTTAGAATAAGTGTGATGTGTTGCTGAGAAGAATTTATATTCTGTTGATTTGGGATGGAGAGTTCTATAGATAGATGTCTATTAGGTCTGCTTGGTCCAGAGCTGAGTTCAAGTCCTGAATATCCTTATGAATTTTCTGTCTCGTTGATCAGTCTAAGATTGACAGTGGGGTGTTAAAGTCTCCTGCTATTATTGTGTGGGAGTCTAAGTCTCTTTGTAGGTCTCTAAGAACTTGTTTTATGAATCTGGGTGCTCCTGTATTGGGTGCATATATATTTAGGATAGTAACTCTTCTTGTTGCGTTGATCTTTTTACCATTTTGTAATGCCCTTCTTTGTCTTTTTTGATCTTTGTTGATTTAAAATCTGTTTTACCAGAGATTAGGATTGCAACCCCTTCTTTTTTTTTTTTTCCATTTGCTTGGTAAATCTTCCTCCATCCCTTTATTTTGAGCCTATGTATGCTCCATCTTTTAAGAGTCAATAATTATCTTCC